ATTCTTTGTCGTCTTCATCCTCCGATGAATCATATTTCTCAGCTTTTGCCTTAAGAGAAATGTTCTTCTTCTTCTTCTTCTTCTTATCTAGTTCCTCGTGTTGATCAAGTTGACTCAATTCGAGTTCATGTTCCTGCAATTTTCCAAACAAAGCAGCCAAGGACATTTTCGAAAGACTTTTCTTTTCTGAAATAGCCTTTACCTTTGGTTGTCATGTTCTTGTTAGTGATCTTAGAACTTTTAAGTTCAAGTCACTATTTGACAACACCTTGCCAAGTGCAATAAGATGGTTGGTGAGATGAGTGAATCTCTTTGAAGATCCAAGATCTTCTCTCCAGGTCTCATACGAAACATCTCGTATTCCTGGGATAGAGTGTTGAGTCTCGATCTCTTTACCTCTTCGGTACCTTCTTGAGTTGTCTCCAAAGTGTCCCACATTTCCTTAGCAGATTTGCAGTTGGACACTCTAAAGAACTCATCTATTCCATGTGCCTATGTGAGGATGTTCTCTGCCTTCAAATCATATTGCACCTTCTTCTTATCTTCATCATTCCATGAAGATTTTGGCTTTGTCTCTCTTATGCTGTTGACAACGGTAAATGGCACGTATGGTCCTTCCTCGATAGCATTCTAGATATCCAAGTCTTGCGACTCTATGAAAATCCTCATTCTGATTTTTCAGAAGTCGTAACACTCTCCAACAAAGCTTAGAGGTCTGTTTATGTTGGATCCTTCTCCTATGAATGATATTGAGGCCATGTTGTAGTAGGATCAGATTTTGAGAGTAACTTTCTCAAAAATAGCTCTGGTGCCAATTTTAAGACTGAGATTGCAACTAAGAGGGGGTGAATTAGTTGTTGCAATAAGTATGGCCAATTTTTCTGCAATATCAAAGTTATTGTGCAGCAGAAATATTATGCAGAAAAATATTGACTTAGGAAGGATAGATAATTAACAAAGAGAAGAGAAAGAGAGTACACATGTGTTTTATACTGGTTCACCTTCTTGTCCACCGAAGGCTACGTCTAGTACTCTTGACGCGCAAGAGATTCCTTTATTAAATATAATGAGTTGCAATTACAATTATCTCACCCCGAGATCTCCTTGTACCTTACACACTCACTTATATCTAATCCCCTTGGAAAACTCTATTCCAAGTCACACCCTTAGTAAGCACTATACCAGGTAACACCCTTGGTAAACACTATACCAAGTCACTCACCCTTTCTCTTCACACCCTTGTAAAAGGAAGTAAACTTTGCATAAGTGAAGAATGTACAATTTGGCTTGGATTGCCTTACAAGTGTATATGACAATTTCTAGAACTTGCAATCCAATAACAACTCTTTATACTTGAGATAATAAAGCTCTTTTTAACTTTGAAAATGTTTGGAAAGCACTTTGAAGCAACTCAAAAATACTTAGAAAGTTTGAGAGTATGTTGTTTTGAAAAGTGCAGAAAATTCAGAGAAGTGTAAGAGCTTTGTGTGATTTTATTATGAAAGTTGTTGTATTTTGTTATGTGTTGTGAGAGTGTTTCAATGCCCTTATATAGGCTTCCAATCAACCATAATACCCTTAGGTATGAGTAGGTTTCGTTTGGAGTGAAAACTCTTCACTTGAAATCTAAAAAGTGATGCAACAACTCTAAGTAATCGATTAATGCAAGTGGGTAATCGATTACCCATCAATCCTTTTAACATCTTTTTGAAAATTCACACAGTGTAATCGATTACTGGATTTGAGTAATCGATTACTCAACAACACTGTTTGACAGCTTTGTGAATTTGCCTTAGTGTAATCGATTACACTACTTTGAGTAATCGATTACCCTGTTTTCTAAAAATGGTAATCTGTTACTCCAAAGTCTGTAATGGATTACTCATAGCTGTTAGAGGTTTGAAAACTCTTTTCTCACTCATGTAACTTGTTACTCAAGTATGGTAATCCGTTACATGTTGCTTTTTGAAAATTATTTTTATTAACACTTAGATTATTCTGATTTTCTTGAAAACAATTTTGAGCATTATTAACTAAGTAAATAAATGAGTTGTAAGGATAGAAGTACCTAAGACTTAGACTCTAATTCTTTGAAGCTTTATTTTCGATAATCTTCGTAGGTCTTCTTCCTTTCTTCTTTTTGTGATATTGATGTCTTCATCAAAACCGTGTCAATGTCAAAAGCAAGATATCTTCACAACATCAACATAAATAAAACAAAATAACATCAACATATTCAACATAAATAAAAATGTGTATTTTTTAGAAATGAGATGATACTTTAGGTACCACAAAATAATACTTTCCAGGTGAGACAAATAATACAACTTACATGCTACATATAATGAATAATACTAGATTAGACACAATAGTACTTTATGTGTAATGAGCAATGCTAGATTAGGCTAAGTGACCAAATACAAATAGGTTGTGCAATAGTCCAAAGATGGATCAAACTTGATTCTAGTTATAGAATACTTATACAAAGTGTACAGTTTACATAATTAAAATCAAATAGGTTGTTGAATACTTTTAAATCAATTCAGACCTTTAAGTTTATCTAAATTGAGCCAAGTATTGCTTTTGGTGCTAAGTATCTACATCCACATATGCTTACTTTTTAACTAAAATAATTGATTTTAAAGTTAGACAATATCAATAAACACATCATAGACTCTCATGTTTTGAGTGAACACCCAATGTAGTGAAGATGTAAAAACTCTAATTACAAAATGATAGACTCTTAAAAAACTTAGGAGTGATTAACTTTGATCGTGTTTTTGGAGAAAAAAAAGAGAGATGTGTTTCAAGATGAAGAAAGAAGAGAAAGATGGGTTTGAGTAGCATAAAAGAGAGACGAATGACTTTTATTACTTGTAAGGAATGGAAAATGAAAAGTTCAAAGATATATAGTAATATTAATGTACACGTCTAAACATGCAGTTTTATGACATTATCGCAAAATTCAAACCATCTTTTACTTATACCAAATTATCATTGCAAAAACTTAACATCACCTTTGTGGTCAACATTATTTTATTGTATCCATTATTATCTAATGACTAAATAAACTCTACCACAAGTATAAGCATAAGTAAAGTAAAGTGCTATATACTTTTTAATAATATACTATACACAATCTCGTTTTATAATTTTATTAAACTAATAAAACATGTAATTTTATTAAAGAAGATAGTAGATTTAGTTATTTTCCCAATGATATGAAGAAGAAAGCATGTTGATCTGCAAGGAAGCCAAAAAATAAGTATATGTTATTTAAATATATAGTTTAATGAATATTATCTGCATAAATTAATGTATAAAGAGAAGATATGCAAGAAATATAAGGTTGATTGTGTATGAAGGTAAAGCATTCTAAAGAGGAAATAATTATGTTAAAGTTAAAGTGTTGTACCAATATACACTATAGTGTCTCTAATTGAAGTTACTGGATGAATTTTTTGCAAAGGTACAACTATAGGCTTTTCATAGGTACCAATGTGTTTTGCATAGGTACAACCGTAGCCTTTTCGTGGCACAATCTTTGAACGTTCATATAAAAATAAGAAAGATATTAGAAAGAAAGAGAAGTGAAAAAACCACTTCATGTGATGAAGCTTATAAGATGTGTCACAATCTGTTACCTGTTGGAATTTTAAAAAGTTGGTGGCAGAGTAATAATGCAAGAAAAGTACATTTGCAATAAATGAATCATTGTTTAAAATTAGCATCTTGCTTTTGATTTTTTAAATTATATGACTCTCTTCTCATTCTATAGATTCTTACTCTTTGACTTTACATAAGAAGATAATGTAGTAAAAATAACACTTGAGACTAAAACATAAAGGATAAATTTCCTTTTTAATGTATTTTTCAGAATGTAATAAACAACTATTCTCCACATTGTCCATATAGATAAAAGTTAAGCTTTGTAAAAGAGAAGAAGCTATATTTTTTAGGTGCTAGAAAATGAGATTCATGTTTAATGGCCACCACTGTTTAAAATATTTCTGAGCTTACTATTTCTCATTTAAGCTTCATATTCCTTGACTCATCTTTTATTTTTGATTTTTTATGTTAGATGACCTTTCTATTAATTTAATCTAAAATAGAACAAAACTAAATAATAGTTTGAAGATTGTAATATAGTTAGAGTTAACTAACCCGATTGGGGAGATAGAATGAAAAGATTGCTGAAAATAAAATTAGAAAGTTAGAGAAGTGAGAAGAGAGAATGTATATAGGAAATGTAGGAAATTACCTTAGGATCCATGACTCCTTCTGTGGGTAGGGCATTATTGATACACACCTTTTGTCTCATCTAAGTTCTTACCTAAGCGGCTTCCAAACTTGAAATTAAATGCAATAGAAATGACATTATCACAAAATGCATACTTTTTATAATAATTTATATGATTAAGATTCCACCATTTTCATGATTGACATATTTTAAAAATAGCATCTTGCTTCTGATTTTGGAAAAAACGGATTCTTACTCTTTGACTTTGCATAAGATGGTAATGTGGGAAAAATAGCACTTGAGACTAAATCATAAAAGATAAGTTTCCTTTTTAATGTCTTTTCAGAATATAGTAAACAACTATTCTCCACATTGTCCATATAGATAAAAGTTATCATAAGCAATAATCCATTGAAGAAATGTTGTAAAAGAGAAGAAGCTATTTTTTGAGGTGCTAAAAAAAGGAGATTCATGTTTAATGGACATCACCAAAGGACTTAAAATAAGGAATTTTTATGTGAATGAATCCATTTGCAGTTCAAACATTATTGCATTTAATTTAAATTTATTTTTTTCATTGCCATAATAAACGAGTACATTTTTTCTTCAACATTCTAAATGAATGCTTGGAAATGAAAACCTTCAACAAACAAAATATGTGGTTCAAACTGCGCAGTAGTACTCTAGATGAATTCCAAAAAGATCACACTGAAAATTTGATAGCAAAGCTTACCATTGGAACATGCAAAAATGGAAATGTGATAAAACGCCAAGTGTGATGATATTTTGTCGAAGGATCCATGGAAGATCTCCTATTTTCAACTAACCTTAGTGACATTGACATGTTAGCCATCACCACATTAATTCCTCCCTTCTTTTGGTTGAAAAAAAGAGAATTTATTGGCATACATTTTCATCACAAAACAAACACTAAGATTGATTCTTAATGAGCAAAAGATTACAGATTCAAATTATGTAAACAATATGTTTGTTTGTGAAATAAAGAGTGTACTTCTACATTTTTTAGATTAGATAATAGTCGTATTATACAATCGGATAATATAACCATTCATACATGCTTAAAAAATGAAAGTAAATTTATAGAATGAACAAATGTCAAATACATTAATATAATCACACATACATGACTCGTATAAGATTAAATTTATCTAGTCCTATTAACAAAAATGATAAGATAGTTATATCAAAATGACTAACCTGAGTATTGTGACGTCTCAGTGATGATTACAGCCATAGAAGCTTCGGTGTGTAGCGGTAAAAATGTTATCTTAAACTCTTACAAAAAAAAGGTTATCTTAACCTAAGAATGAATAAAATAAGTTTCACTCAACAAAAATGTCCAAAAAATTGTAAACTTGTTAGGTAAAAATGTTATTGTGTTAGTAAATGTGAAATAAAAAACAAATAGAACTTAGAAACCACTAATTGTAAATATTGAAATACATGATAACAACAAGAACATGAAAACATATATTTGAGTGAATGAATGTGTATGAACACGGATGGGTATGAGATGTTAGAAAGATTGTCATGACTCTTCACCTATTCAAACACAAATTATTAGAAGCTATAAGATCTGATGATAAAGAAGTTGTAAGGAGAAATGGAGAAATCATACCTGTTAAATAGAGGAATCATACATGTAAGAAAAAATATGTAGATGGTTTAGTGAGTCTAATAATAGAAGATGAAGAGAACGATTGAAAATGGAGAAAATAGAGAGGTTGAAAATGGAGAAATAGAGAAATCATACATGTGAAATGGAGAAATCATACCTGTAAGGAAAAATATGTAGATGGTTTAGTGAGTCTGATAGTAGAAAATGAAGAGAGATTGAAAATAGAGAAAGATGGAGAGGATGAAAATGGAGAAAGAGATGAACAGTGAAATGGAGAAATAAAGAAATCATACATGTGAAATGGAGAAATCATATATGTAAGGAAAAATATGTAGATGGTTTAGTGAGTCTGATAATAGAAAATGAAGAGTGAGATTGAAGATAGAGAAAAATGGAGAGGATGAAAATGGAGAAAGAGATGAATAGGAAAATGAGAAAAATAGAGAGATGCTAAAATGAAAAGAAGTGTGGAAAGGAGTGGAACCAAGGAAAGAGAAATAGGGAAACTAGAAGGCCTTTTCCATTTCAACTAATCTCCTAATATCATCTCATTGCAATAAATGAGTGTGCAGAAAGCATTATTTTATTGTATTCATAATTAACAAATGACTAACTTATCCCCACTATATTAAAGCCATAAGTTAAATCCTATATATTTTTTAGTAATATAATTCAGACAAAAGTAATATCCTTCTACTTTTGAAATCCAAGTGGTTAAGACAAATTTGACCTTGAAAATTTCAAGTGTCAGAAATGTAGTAGTCTATTTTGGTAAATAACAAAAACTTAATGACAAAAATGACCTTGAAAATGTGAAGTGTCACAAATATGGTAGTCTATTTTGATAATTATGCTAGTCCCTTCTATTCTTATGTTTATACTAATATATAAAGAGAAAACACAAAATAACTACCCATGATAGTGTAATTTGTTGTTTCTTATTTTGCTCTTACTAATCTATATTTTATAACCAAAAAACCATATAACATATTTTCTCATTTTATGTTTCATGTTTGTTTATATAACTTTTACAGTTTTTCCCTTTGAACACGTCTGTTTTTCCACATGGATCAAGACAATATTTGAACACGACATTTTATCATTTTCATTTTTTAACATGCAAAATTGCAAATCATGTTTGGTTGATTTTGTTATAGTTATGAAAAATGTAATAAAAATATACAAATCAATTACAATTCACTCAATAGAAAAACAAGTTGACAGACACGAGAGTAGTAATAGAAAACATAATTTAATTATAAATAAAATTATAAAAATATCATATTCTGTTTTCTTCTTTTAGTTTTATAAGTACTTGATTCTAAGACAAAAACTTAGGTAAAATATTATAGGTACTAGTGATACATGTGACCTATTAAAGGATGACATGTATACATTTTTGTTTACTTTCAAATAATGAACATTTATTATATTTACAATCAAACATTTTTTGATATTGAAAGTAAACAAAAAAGTTCACATGTCATCATCTAATAGATCACATCTATTACTAGTACATATGATACTTTACCCAAGTGTTATCATTGGTTCTATTCTTCCTAATTTAATACTTTACTAACTGAGCACAGACAGTGGAGGAAAGATAAAAAGGCAATTGGAGAAGTCTCACATCACTATTCATGGAAAGTTGGAAACAACATTATTCATTGGAAAAAGGACACGTTAAGGTAATTTGTTGGTAACAATGTCAGTAGTAGAGAATGACAACAACTACCACAACAACCACCTCGATTGGATACTAGGATTTTGATCATAATTGGGTGGGGTAATCCATTCTCAACTAACTATGATATCTATATATTTTCACTGCCAAAATGTATAGGAAATAATATAATTATAATGGATAAATCTCATACATTATTAATGCATATTTTTTTTCTTATTTTTATTTACAATTATGAAAATTTCAATTAAATATTTGGTTAGAGATTTAAAAAAAATAAAGATAGCTTACTTGCATGATGAAAAACAAGAGTTTAAATTATTAACAGTATTATAGTTTTTATCGCAATTACCTATAACATTTTTATCTAATCAAATCTGACGAAAAAAATATGGATCAAAGTTGATGGTGGTTGTCGTGGAATGGGGGAGGTGAGAGAGTTGTTGTTTGTAACGGTGGAAGTGATGGATGGAGAGGAATAAAGGATAAGGAATGAGATGATAAATATTATTAGGAACAAAATAATATTGTTTTGAGATATTTTCATCATGATTATTAACAGTTTTATGGAAAAACAAAAAAAAATTATAAAACATAAATGACACAAATAATTCAGTCAAACATAAATAAATAAAACTAAATCATAAAATAAAGGAATAAAACATCATTTAAAAAATTTATTATCAACTAAATTTCCAATACCATATAGTTAACATTCACTTATTTTTCATAGATGAGTCCAAAGAGTGGCCCAAGTAGTAGGGTCATATATTACCACGGACAAGGAACTGCTGTCCCAAATCTTGTCCTGCACCAATCAAAATGAAATAAAAATAGAAAAAACCATGAATGTTTACAATGGAGAGCATATCCTTGTCCGAGTTAGGAGACGGGTTCGGGACAACATATCCTTGTCCGAGTTAAGATCCTCTAATGGAGAGACAAGTGCATAAAAAATCAAGAGAAAGTACAATGTTCAATGACACATGCATCCTTTTGATTACAATAATATTACAATTTTGCCATTAAAAAACAAAGGAAAAAATGTACTTGTCTCTCCATTAATGGAGAAGATCCTAATTCATCCTTGTCCATATTACCACAACCAGGCACCAGCTGGTCTCTCTCTCATGTTCCCTTCCTCTTTTCATTGCTATTGCATTCTTCAACTTCTTATCTTTTTTGCTGAAAATAAACATTGGCCCATATTAAGAACTTACAACTTTTATTTGAGATTTCTCAATCTCACTTTGGTTGATTCACTTCAGGTACTCCCCCACTTTCCATCTTCACTGGACCCTCAAATTTTATTCCAAAGCTTTGTTCTTTTTGTTATTCTGCGCTTACCATTTCCTCTTTTTAACTTATTCTCTGTTACCTCTTAGTTTCTTCCATTTTTTAATTTTTGTTGTTGTAATTCTTGCTATTTCAGCATCATGGTTGGCTGGAAATCTAACAGTAGATCATATAACTATAAAAATCTACATTCTCTGTTAATTTGTAGTAAATAGCAAAAAGGAAGATAGTTTAAGTTGTTTTTATGGTTGGATTCAGTACTATTTGGAGTTTGAACAATGAATTAGAAAACTGTTGTTTAGGTTTTCTGATGTTATTGATATTCCTTTATCAATGTGTGATTCATACGTAGATATGGATTAGGATTTTCAAACTGTAACTTCATGAATTATTTAGTTTGGTTTTGATTAATTCTTAGGTAAAAATTGCTCCTTCTCTTTCTTTTTTTAGTTTTTTTTCTTACCAAAGAACTCTCAGTAAGATTTTGATTATAAGTTTTATTTTGAATACAATTTAAGCTAATCCGAGCACACATGATGAAGATGAATTCTCTAGCAGAAGGTTGGTGCTCTTTTCTTTTCGTAGGAGAAAAGTGATTACATAATTAATGAGATTCTTTGATTTCAGTATCAAATTTCACAGTCCTAATAGCATTTAATAGTATCAGAACTCAGAAGATGCTATTGGATTTCCTATTAGGAGCTAAATTATTTTGGGTTGTAAATCGAGTTATTAAAAATACATATTTTATGTATGAAGGGAGAAATTGAGGAATTGCTAAGAAAATGGGGAGGAATCGAAATTGGTTTTCGTCTGTGAAGAAAGCTCTCAGCCCTGAGCCAAAGGAGAGTAAAGATCAGGTTCGGATAAAATCGTAAAATTTATATCGACATATCTCAGTTATCTTAGATGTTTCTTATAGTGTTATCAACTCCTTTTGTAGAAGTCAAGCAAATCAAAGAAGAAATGGTTTGGGAAGCAAAAATTGCAGACTTCAGAGGCATACTCCGAAACCAATAAAGCACCCTTTCTTCCTGCACCGGAGGAGATTACTTTAACTCATGTTGAGAATGAAGACAGTAATGATCATGTTGTTGAAGTTGCAACTGTCTTAGAGGCAGAGGAACCTGTTCTTGATGATCATACAGAAGCTGCTAAGGTTCAAGTCACTGCAGTTGATCACTTTACCGACAAACCTAAGGATGAAGTGGCGGCAATGAGGATTCAAACAGCTTTTCGTGGATACATGGTATATATTGCAATTTTATTTAAATCCATATATACTATTCTGTCGATCTATTTTTATAACTTTTCCAGCCTCCTTTTTTCACAATCCGTTAAAGTCAACAACATTCAATGAAAATCATTTTCAAATGGATTTAGCTTTGATCCACTGGTAGTGTAAATAGTGTTCCACTGTCAGTGAATCATGAGGTGCCACATGTTTCCTAAAATGTTTGAAGATTTTGTTTCCTGTAAAGTAACATTGGGTCAATTTCCAGCTCTTTAAATTTTGTTTCATGCATATAGTGTATGTATGCATTAAATGTTCTCTTTAATTACTCTAAGTTATGAGGTCATCATAATCAATAATCGCTGCAAACAAAGACTTCTAAATTGAATGATAAACTAATTTCAAGCGGAATTTACTTTTGTATTCATTTAGGCAAGAAGAGCATTGCGGGCTTTAAGGGGGCTGGTCAGGTTAAAGTCACTGATGGAAGGGCAAGTTGTAAAACGCCAAACCATTAGTACCCTTCGCTCTATTCAGTCTTTTGCTCATTTACAAACTCAGATTCATTCTAGGAGGCTCAGGATGTTAGAGGAGACACAAGCTCTGCAGAAACAGC